AAGAAGTTGGGGAAAAAAGATTTCCCAAATAACAGTCACCAGAACTAATTGGTATAGTAAGCCACGTGGACTTATGGTGGTTCTAGTGCCTTCATCCAGTGTTCTCATGACCCCAAAGGCAACACTTAACAGGCTTCTGTTTCAAGTGGTGTGCAGTGCAGGCCACAACACCTACACTTGACCCCTTGGCCAGTCATTCAGTGCTTTGGGCAGGACATTGAGAAGGAGACTACCAAGAGGTTGGTGGTGGAGACGTTTGGCTTTTCATCACCACCAAAGGGTAGTCTGGGAATGGAGGAGAATGGCCAGAAGAAGGGGCACTCCCGAGAGAGATACCCTAGGTTCCCTTAAACCTGAGCATAGACTGATCTTGACTCTGAGTAGGGAAATTATGACTTCATAAGAGTACGGAGAACTCTTCCATGTGCTCTCTCTCTCCTTTGGACCCAACCCTGCCTATATGGATTTAGAGGAAATCATATAGGAGCTTGCCAAGGATGACACTGTCCATTGGACCATTTTGCATCATTTTTCATTGTCCTCTCAAAGCTGCCTCTGGAACAATCATATATGATGCTTTGGCATTTTTCCTTCATCCAGCTATGTATTTTTCATTCCATTGCATATAATTCAGTTCCAATTGGAGTTTTACAGAGAATGGCAAGAACCAATTTGGGCTATCTAGCTAAATAGCTTTTTTTAAATTATTATTTGTTAAAAGCCAACCACAATTTCTTACAGCATGTCAACATTAGACATGCTAAGTTGTAAAGAAAATTATGGATTGCCAGGAATTGTGTATCCCCTCCTGAAATCCCATATGCTTCAGTCTGCTGACTTCACTACTGTGGTTTAAATTCTGTACATGTATCTCTTTCCAAGACTTATTGAAGTCATATGGCTCACTATTCAGTAAAATATTTGGCAAGGTTAAAATGATGTAATCCAGAAGTGCATTCCTTCCAGATCTGTCTTTTTTTCCCCATGTTCAGCCACTCCCCCACTTTTGTGAACCCCAGCATGTTTTTACCTTCTCAGTACAAAAGACAGATTATTCATCCCAGCAGTAGCTGAAACAGAATTGAAACCTTAAACATACAAAGAATTGTAGAAGAAAAAACCAAACTTCTGTGTGTATGCATACAGGTATATGTGTGCAAACGCACACCTTGAGTTGTATTTGGATCCTTTCTATTATACACATACAGTCTCTTTTAAGTAACAGATAAAGCTATAATCCTGTTGGATCTTAGATGTAGTGGTCCTAGACATCAGAAGCTCCTTTTTAAGTCCTTGCTCAAGCTTGGAAGCTTTTGAATGTTCTTAGCCAAGTGACCATCACTTGGCCTAAATGCTTCTTCTAAGATATGTTCTAACAAATCTTCTAAAATATATAGACGTACAACAAACATTGTAAAACTAAAATGCCATTTTCTGAGTTTCCAGATGAGAGAATCCCCCAAAATAGCTCACAAATAAGTAAGTGCGTGTGCGTGTGTGTGCATGTGTGTGTGTGCACACGCATGCGCTGTGTTTTTCTCCTTAGAATTTCCAGTAATGGTTTCCAGCATACCTCCAGTATGTCAGAGCCCTTTATGGCTCCATCAAGAAGTTCTTTTCTTCCTATAGCTAAATATTCTCTAGGGCAAGTGAGCCAGGTTGTAAGGATTCATTCATTCATTCATTCATTCATTCATTCATTCATTCATTCATTCATTCATTCATTTATTTTATGTGGGATGGGGCTGGCTTGCTTTAATAAAAATCTACAGAAAAAAGCCCAGTAGCAAACATTAGCCCTTTACAGGCGTGTATCAAATTAGGGGTTAATGGAGTAGTAGTAATTTCCAGAATTTATAACTTCATGCTGTGGGTCAGCAAGAAATCCAGTAATGACTCTGACCTCTAATGGGTCCCATTGCCAGAATTATTTTTTCAGCAGAACAGTGAGGTCAACAGCTATAGTTGTTATAAAACAAACAATGAAAGATAGCTAGAGATAGAGAACAAACAAAAACTCCCTGTTCTTTTTGCCAAAATCTTGCTAGATTATGAGCATAACTATATTCGGTGCTCTCCTTTCTACTACGCTTGCACTGGGTCTCATCAGAGCAATTGGCAAAGTAGAGGGAAATGGAAATAATTGTATCATATACGTTTAGTTTGAGAAAGAGTTGTCTTTGCCATTATTCTGAGACTATCCAGTTCTCTCCAGCATTCTCATTTTCAGTGGGTTTCAGTTCTTTGACATATATTTGAATAAATTTGTTTTGCTTCTGAGCGTAAGCCTGTTAATTTATCTCTCTTTAACATACTTGTATGTAATCAGCCCTTGACGGCAGATTTCTGTGATCTAGCTAAATTTAAACTATTTAAAGAGGTACAATAAAAATGTAATTTCCCCATCTCTTTTATTCTATATATCTCAGTTTCCTTTGTTATAAGGTACAAAGCTGAAAAAAGAACAAGAATTTCATCAGATGTCTCATATCCCCCAAATTTGTCTTTGATATATCTGAGCAAAATTAAACTCTCTATATTTCACCCTGAAACTATCAATCACATGCTTACCATAAAGCTCTCGTGCTAGATCAATGCTTCTTAAACTTTTTTCTCTCAGGATCCCTTCTCACTTTTAAAAATTACGGAGAACCCCAAAAGAGCTTTTGTTTGTATGAGTTATATTTATCAATATTTACTGTATTAAAAATTCAAATCGATGCATTCGCTACCTTATGATTGTTTGATGGGATTTTAATATTGTATTATTTTTCCTGAGAGCCAGTTTAGTGTAGTAATTAAGGCACTAGGCTAGAAACCAGGAGACAGTGAGTTCTAGTCCCGTCTTAGTCACAAAGCCAGCTGGGTGACCTTGGGCCAGTCACTGTCTCTCAGCCCACTTCCGAAAATCTTGCCAAGAAAACTGCAAAGACTTATCCAGGCAGTTGAATGACTGACTTGAAGGCACCAAATAAATAAATAGCTTTTTCTTATAGGCTGGCAAATAATGTTGATTTTGTAGACCCCAGAGAGGGTCTTGGGGGACCGCCAGGGTTCCTTGGACCACCTTTTGAGAAATACTGTTCTAGATCATGCCAGATGTGCTCTCTTCATGTATATAAATTCAGTGTTGCTATTTAGATATTGTTACTCCAATCCAAATCAATGTGTATTACAGTAGCTGGAGCTTCAGTATTCATCTTAAAAAACTAAAATTTCATTAATTAACAATTCATTAGGAAAGAAAGGGCACCCGTCTCCTTGAACAGTCGAATAATGTGCGGGAGGGGGAAATGGAGAATGCATGCCCAACTCCATTTCCATATGTATCTATGCATTCATGCAGTCCTTGGAGCTTCTCTTGGCAAGAAAAATAAACCCGGAAAGCATATTTTCCATCCTGTCATCCTCCTGAGGTCTTTTGCTTTTCCCTTTCTTAATTATTATTCTTTAACTTTCTGTTTTGGAAATGTTATAGCTGGCAGATTTAGGGAAGGCTCCTAAGAATTTTTTTTTCCTAAGAAGGTTTGAGACAGAAACACCCTATTCATTTGAAAACTGGGAACACATATTTCATATTTTACTAACTAAATCTGTTATTTATCATCTCCTGGGGCTATTTCAAGGTGTTGCTCAGCAACAGTGATCTTCAATCAGGGCCAGCTCTCCTGTTAGGCAGAGTGAAGCAGCTGACTCATAGAGCAGATGCTGGGGAGTGGTAAGTCGCAATGAGATGAGGAAGACCAAGTACCCCCTGGAGTAGTCTATGATAGTCAGTTGCAACAAGGACACGTTTCCATCAATAGTGTTGAAGTTGGATTAGCTGCTCCTCCTGGTTCGCTTCTATCTTCTGCAGGTACCAGCAAAAAAGGTTTTATCCGTTAAAGAATCAAAATAGTTGTGGCCCACATTCCCATGTTCTTTCTCAAATGTCGCAAAATCCCTTTGGGTTTGGTAAGAAGGAAGCTGAGACTGAAGCTGTCATTCCTGGTGTTGATTCATAGCTGTATATTTCCAGAAACAGGATGCCATAGCATCCTCCTCCTCCTCCTCTGAGCCTGCCTTAATCCAGCTTTTAGTTTCTAGTAGTAAGAAGCAGTCTTTTGCAAAAAGCACCCTTTCCTGCCCAGCTGCATTTTTTTCTGATGAAAAACAGCTTTTAAAAAACATATTCTAAGGCATTTATGCAATTCAAATTACCTATTTTCTGTAATTACTAATAGGTGATACCTGTGTTCATCTTTTCTTATTCCATAAAATGGAGAAAATTGTAAGCGGAAAAAAATTACTAGCTGCTCAGAAATGTGAAAAATTGGGATCATTTAACTGTTCTGGTTTCTTATTAATAAATCCTTGGGATAAAATACATGTTTCTTGGAAAATGAAAGGCAGGTAAAGTGCTGTCTGCAAGGAGTGTTCTTGGTTAATCTGGATTTAGGTTCATATACAGAATGAGTCTCTTTTTTGTATTCCATCGTGTGGGTGTGCAGAACTTTTAAGCAAACTTCTTTTGTTTCTAAGGTTCATACAAATCCACTTCTCAATATCTCTAATTCTGGATATGGGAGAGAAGAGAAGCTGCAACTAAAGAAGATTAATTATCTGTATTTTTTTGTAAACAAGCTTCATTTAGGATTATCAACATAATAATGCTTTTGCTTTGGACTGTGCAGTTATTCCTGCTTTCTTGAAAGAGAAAAATATTTCCCGTCAATATCAAGACCACTGAATATTTTGAGAGCTAAGCTTAGTTACCTTCACTGAATACTTGCAGATGTGCTCGCTCTTTCTTGATGCTTACTGAGTCTCAAACTATCTATTAAAGTTTAAATATAGAAAGAATACTGTGTCCTTTTCTCTGTTTCCAAACAGAAACCTCCATGACCTTTTTTTCTCAAGAGCAAAATTTCTAAGATACTCAGAATAAGCTACACAAAATACACCAATTAATTATTTGGCATTTACACAGAGCTAAATACTTTTCTTCTTTTCTTTTTCAGATTCCTCTGAAGGATCTTTAAAAGCCTCTACATGTCAAGGAGAGATAGATACCTATGTTATTCGTCAAACTGGAGAAGTAAACCTGATTTCTCAGGAAGGTTAGTGAATCAGCCATTTTAAATATTGGTTTCAAGATTTCTATGCCACCATTAAGAGCAAAATCCCACTTAAGATGCCCTGCAATCAGGAGAATAAAAATAATTAAACATATAAAACATACAAAACTTAAACTAAATTAAGAACATAACCGCCCCCCCCCTTGTTTAATTCTTCTCTGTTCAGACCAGCTGCTATTTTGCTCCTGCTTTTTCTGGACTGCTTCCTATGACTCATATCATACCTACATGGCAGTTTAAAATTTCAGTCTGGAAAAGGGGTATTGAAATTAGGCCTCAGCCTCAATTAAATGAGATAAATATTTTCTTGGTTATTATTTTCTCTGGGTTTTTCAAAACAAAGGTGAACAGGGATGCCTAGGGAACATTCACCTCTGATTTAAAACCTATGTATTGTCTGTTCCCTAATGTTTATCTTCCTGATAAATAGGAGAGTGGATGGGTCGGCTGGATGCTGAGTTCTTTCGCCAACTCTGGTTCCACATAAGTGTGGAGCAAACTCATGGCCAGAGTTCCTTGGCTGGATTACTCAGTGTTTCCAAGCCAGAACTCTGGGGAGACTGAAGTGAAGCCAAGAGGCAGGGCCTTCCTTTCCCAAAAAGTGCATACTCAGTATTTTGTGCCTGCAGGGAACCCAGATATGCTTGAAATGTGAACACTGTGTGTGTGAGACAGAGAAAGAGCAAGGAGAAGAAGTCTTGACATTGACCAGGTGTCAGTTATTAGACACCAATAACATTTTGCAGCGGCAAGCATTCTGAGTTTGTTCCTGTGCTTCAGTGAAGGTCCTTCATAGGCTCTTGATGCCAGAAGTAGGAAGAGATTGTTGTCCATCTTCTCCTCTTGCAGCCCCTACTGTCAGGGAAGCTCTTGGAGCAGTTTAGGAGACTGAGTTGACAGAAATTGTGTTCCCTTCCGTCAGCAGGGTGCTTTCTTGGATTTCGATCTCAGGCACAAAAAGAAGGAGCTCTTCCAATTGCAGAAGCTGAGTTAGGATCCAGAATTGTAATTTTCTTCTTCTATTCCAGACCTGCTGCACTCTGTTATTTCAGCCCTGTTCAGTCCAGCCACTGAACTGAGTTAGTTATTTAAAATAACCAGCAGGAGTAATGCTGGCACCTTTGTTCATACAAAGAGGTCCCCACCTAAGGAAAGGGCTCACACCTTGCCTCTGCAACAGTAAATGCCGTTTCTGCAATAGGTCTTGGCTTTGTTTTGTTAATAGTATCATTGACCAAATCACAGAAGTTTCTGGTATTTTACCATCCATGGGAGAAGTGACATTGTTCTTCCACTCCAATTTTAGAGCTACAGGCATGGCTGCTTGCTAAGTATAAAGAGAAAAGCATTTTTCCACAAACAACTACGCTAGCAAGGAGGATCATTATGCTGTTGAAAGAGTTTTGTCTTTGTTTAATATGAATCCTTTCGCTGCTATGTATAACAGGCTCCATTACTGTCAAGGTACCTGCAACTCTTCAAGTTTCTCTGAAATTATCTGGAACTAAGGTGGAAGTGAGCCCAGAGGTCCAATTGCAGGATATCCAGACAGTTTCCAGAGAAGACCGTGTAATAGTGACTGGTGAGATATGTTGTATAACGTCCCCTAAAAATAATTACGTTTACCAATGAAGCAAATTCTTCTATAATTGATGGCTGTCTATGATTAATGAGCGAGCCAGCATCATAACCCTTTTTCATCTTGGCCTGCTGAAACTAACCAGAATTCCTTGAATTGAGATGTGTTTGTGAATTCCAGTTAGTTTCAGCTCAGAAACAATGAGGATTAAAGAGGATGAGGAGACGAGGTAGCCTAAAGCACAATATGGTTTGTCCATAGAACTTTAAATAATATTGCTGGCTTACCTCTGCATCTGAAGAGGGAAATTTAAATGTGTATGTATTTGTAACAGGGAACAGAGTTGAAAGTTTTGTTGCTTTGTTGAATCAAATCTATTTGAATGTGTGTGCGTGTGTATGTGAGAGAGAGAGAGTTCAAAAACACACACAGTGACCAAAGCAGGTCTCTTTATGTATCTGTTACATGGCTTATCTCTCTACTCTTCGACTTACACGTCTCATCCAACTAATGTCAATTTCATATTATCTAAAAGCTTGGGTAGGACCTGCAAGCCACTTTCATTTGAAACCTCACAGGCTAAGTTCCTCATTTCCATGTTCCAAATGGTGCCCATTCAACTGGAGGTTACAATAGTTATGAATAAAATATATTGACCCTGCATGTCATTGTTAAGGAATGCCCTTGTTAATGGCAAGCCAGCAACTTGGCGGACCGTGATTTTATTTTTATAAGAATGGCCTTGAAGTGCAGCTGATCATGTTGTACTTTTCGTATCAACAGAAAGAAACACATTATAAGAAAGTTTATTTTGGAAAATTAAGTTAGAAATGTAAAAATAAACCACCAGCAACAGCAGGGGACCTCTTTGATGATTTGGGATGGGGGCTTCTCAAATAGGAAACTAACCAGGCACATTGCATTTTTTCTCTGTGACAAGAATAGTGTAGAGTGTGCATCATAAATTCCATATTTGAACCCAGAGAGAAGTTGCATAAATAACATGCTTGGCAAGTTCTTTTGGAGCAAGCAAGGGAGCAATTTATAAGTGTTTTTATGCCGCCTTATGAATCTCAGAGCCACAATTAATTGGGTATTTTTAAAGAATTCCACCATCTATATTTAGCATCCTGTTCCTATATTCCAGAGGAAAGGACCGGGTTAGCCAGCACTGTTTCCAGGATAATGAGTATAACTGGTTTATAAATGGATCCCAATAAACCTGCAGATGTTGTCTGTATTATTAAACAAATTGTTTAGCCAAATATCTCACAGTTTAGAGAGAATGGTAGAACTGGGCATGTAATGATTATTCTGCTTCAGCTATTTCACAGCCCCAAAATAGATGGTTGCCTCAGAAAATGGTTCACTTTTCCAATATAGATTTGCTTAGTCATATGAATTGGTTGAAATATTGGTGAGATTTATTTCCATGCATAAAGTGCACTAAAATGTACGAAAATATTATTATTATTATTATATTATTATTATTATATTATTATTATTATTATCATTATCATTATCATTATCATTATTATTATTATATACACAATAGCATGAAATCACAGTTGCCAGTTCTTTAGCTGGTGTTGGCCTTCATTCGCATTGAGTTCTTCCCCAAAACCTGGGATGTTGTTATTATTATTATTTAAATTGGTATGCTGCCCAACTCCCAATGGTTCTGGGCAGCTCACCACAATCAAATAAATAAATTATAATCAAATCAATAAAACATAAAAGATCAAGATAAAAGATGGCAAGCATGATGAAAGCGAGGGTCTCTCTCTCTCCCTTGCTAGAGGCCTGGGTGAGGAGCTCTTCTGAACAACAGCTGAGTGGGGGCTATCCAGAGGGCAGGTGTTGCTACAGTGGAGATGGTGCTTTTATCAGTGCATTATCAATAATAATAAGTGCCTTATCAAGTGCACTTCTTCACATTATCCATTTGGTGAGCTGGTCCATTTGTGTGAGCAACATGATATTGAGAGAGAGCATTTTCCCCCAAATGTAGAATCTTATTCAGTTACCTTTGTATATGCAACATGTCTTCCATTCTTCGCTTCTTTGGTTTTTAAGTACTGTATGAAAGCTTCAGGTTTCCAATACTGTTGCTTAAACATTAAAATATTTGCAGTTTTTATAAGGTCTTTTTAAATATTCCCCTTGAGTTTTGGGTATGTTTTGGTAGGAAGACTTATGTACTCAAACAAATTAATTGCACAGGAAAACAGCTGTTTACAGCTGGAAAACACTGGCCCCAAACTGAAAAAAAAAGGAGGTTTGCTTCAGCTCTTACTGTGAGTTCATATTAAGAGATACTGAATTTATCATCATAGTGATTGGGTTATTACAGTATGTTTCAGTGTTTACGATTAGGAGAGAAATACACTCACACATTTATGGTCTAGATCTGTTGTTTGAGAAGGGAGCTGGATAGAGATTTTACATATAAGATCAATGCAAGTCCAACGACTGCTGCAGCTATATTCATTTTGATGTCAGGTCAAAATCTATTTGCATTTCAACTGAATAACTTCAAAGAGAGGGAGAAAGGATGGAATGTGCTCTTTGAAAGACACACTTTTCAGTATCCTGCCTCAACACTGGAGTCCAGGTTAAGGCAAATACAGTTGACTTTGTCTAAAAAGAATGATGCCAATTACTCATAGTATGCCACTGATGCTGCCAGCTCTCTCCCTCTGACACTTTGTTGGAAGAGATACTGCACAGTACAGAAAAACACTGCTGGCCTCTTTTGTGCAGGTGTGGAGGCAGAGAAGTAAGCCTCCTTGGTGCTTTCTCTAAAGCAGAGCAGAAACTCAAATAGACATTCTGTACTGAGCGGACAGTTTGTCAACAACATCCCTAGGCTGTCTTGGCCACCCAGCCGCAACTTCAGGCAATAAAAGTTGACAATGTTGGGTAGAGCAACTGCCCTGCAAGATGGAATTTAGCTAGACCAGGGCCACACCACCTCAAGACCTTGCCTGCGTGGTGAGGAGTAGACTAGCAGGATAAAGGTGGGATATATGAACTCCCTCCTTTTCTGTCTGTGATACATCAGGCCATACCAACTAGCACTTCAGGTTCCTCCTTCCTCTCCTGGTGCCCATATACCCACAGAAAAATAAACGTGGGATGTCCCTGGGCCCAAGGCAGTGTTCTTTGTAGTTTCCTCTTTAACAATGACACCCCAGGGAGCATACTTACTTCACCGGCTCAGTCAGCAGATGCTCACCATCAAAAGCCTGATGCTGTGAGCAAGCTGTTTCCACAGGTAGCAGGCAGACATCTATATGGTAAAGGGCATATTCCCTCTTTCTCACTATCCGCAACAGCCAAGTGGTCTTGATCACAACCTCTGCTCAGCCTGGTGCCTGGTAGTCTTAACCTCTTATTAAATTTTGGTGCTATAGAAGATAGAGACCTTAAATAAAGAATGTCAACAACATGGTTAGAGCATGCATAATGGCTAAAAAGCAGATAGATCTTGCTCCAGGCATTACCAAACTTCTAGAAATGCAAAGCCATAGTCACACCTAGACTTTTATTGCTCTTCCATACATGTCAATCTTATGTTTAATATTGTTGAGTTTGCTGGTAATAAGGAATTTTCATTTCTTTTATGTCAGCTGATAAAATTGGCTAGCCCACATCCTTTTTCATTGGTCTTCCATGAGCTACATTAAAAAATCTTTTTTATCTTGCACCATAGATACTATACTGGTTCTCAGATTGAAATAGGGCTCAAGAGTCTTGTTCTCATCCAAATAGTGTTGAGAAAAACAAGTATGGGTACATTTATATCTGTCCTGCCCTGCTCACCCGGGGACAAATTAATTGAGCTCTGAGCAGTAAAACCCATTTCAGAAAACCTAGTGCTATTAAAGTAGGAAAATAAGAGGGAATAATAAAATACATGGTCAGCTCTAAAAGGCTTGAGTCTTCATTAGAGAAAATAATTTTCTCTCACATGCTTAATTTCTTGGAATGACTCCAGAAATCTAGGCTGTTTTTCTGTCCCCCCCCCCAAAACAGCATTCATGGCAGCATAGCACTTAATAACTCAAATGTTGGTACTAAAACGCTACAGCTGATACATGAGACCTCATAAGGCATCTTTGAATTGTTAATCGTTTTTCATTTACATATTAGTCTTTGATGGGGAGAGTCAGATCTAAAACATATGATGTTTAACTGAACCTTAAATGTAATCTTTCGATGTAAAAAATACAATGAATGGTGAGGAATTTCAAAAGAGTTGTGGGTGAATAAGCCATAGTCATTTGCACTTTATTTCACGATAGTGTAAATCTTGTCCCTTAGCAAGGCAAAGTCATTATTATTTGCAACACAGTAATTATTCTTACATTGTCCGTTGTTACGCATCTTGTGGATTCTGTTGGACTGGGCCATTTTGCCGGTGATGTATGTTTTTTCCCTCTAGAATCTGTCCATTATCTCATAGTGTATTGTCATAGGATATGACTAATTAAAACGGAAAATTCCAGAAAGAGGTAAAATTGCCAGACTAAGTGCTTTTCCCATAAATCATTTTAGTTAAATATTTTTACACACACCACCAACATCTTTCCAACTTTTACTCATTTTACAAAGCTTTGCTGGAGTCCTCTTGAAGCCAGTTAAGTTTCCTTAGCCCTTGTACTCTAAATCCAGAAGCTGAAAATAGATCTTGGAAGATGGCTTTGATAATAACCACAGAAAACCCCAAAGCCCTTGGATTCCAGCTTGTTTAGAGGAACCTTCAGTTTTCATTTCAGGAAACAGCTGCTCAAGCTGTCTTAAGGTGCTCTAGGATTGCTAGAATGGTTTTGAAAAAATTCCTGGAAAAATATTGCTGAATATTTTAGAAGAAGCCATAACGTGAACAAAATGTTAATATTCAGAGAGAAATACTGCAGGAAAGCGATATAATCTTTGGAATAGTTGGGTGTCTAGTAGATGGAGTGTATATGGAATGGCAGTACAAGGTATTTGAGAGATGACGTAACTCTCTGAAGGAAAGCTGAACATTAACAGTACAAAAAGAAATGGATCAACAAATCTGTTGCTGTTGCTAGATTGTCCCTTCCCCAGTCTCAGGGTGACACAATATAATGCTGCAGGATTGAGAGAGGGTAGAAGGCAAAGCATGGGATCCTTAGAGTTTTGTCTTGATATGGCTTTTCATGTAAGTGTGGAACATCACTCTGAGGACTTCAGCTCCATCCCATAAACAAATATTGAGGAAGTAAGTTTCTACCCAGCAGCAGCTATGTGGCTGCAAATCTGAGAGTTGATTTATTCTAAATTCTGCACTTCTGAATTGCCCAACAACCCAAGCCTATCTACCTTTAGATGGCCACACACGGATTTCACTGAAATGCCTGGATGCATTCCTCCCCTCCCCTCCCCTCCCCTCCCCTCCCCTCCCCTTTCCCCAAGCTAGGGATGTTGCTTGTGTCCAGTTAGCTGTGCAAGGTGCCTGAGGCCAAAGGGTTTAAACAAACCATTATTTAGAAATACATCCGAATGCCAAATATGAGCACTTGTGGTCTTGTTCTTTTGTTTTAATTCACATCTCATAGTGCCCCAGAAGAGCCTTTCTAGTTGAAAAGCCGAGGTTATCTATTCCCATAAAAGAATTCATCTATGGAGAAGTTATGAATAAGAAACAGTGAGTGAGGTTACGATATTGAACATCATTGGAAGGCCTGTTTCTGCGTCTTTTTCAAAGCAATGATTAGAAAATTAATGGATGTGATAGGGGTGAGGACTTTACATACTCTGATTTAATTTTTTTTAATTGACATTCAAAAGAAGTCCTCCTTTTCACCCAGCAAAGTGTAACTGACCTGGTCTTAGCTATTCCTGCATCCATGATTGTAGTTCAGTGACCTCCAAATGTTCAAAATGTTTGACTGCTTATAAGTAACTGCAAACAAAAATCCACTAAATATAACCCAGTGAACCAATCGGATCTAAGAATTTAAATATTTTCTGGATATAAATTCAGCTGTTCTCTTCTAAAAGTGAAGATTTTGTGATGTTTACTTTTATGGCAGCTGGAAATTCTTGAAGAAATACTTTTTAAAGTGCTCAAATTTATCTCAGTTGTACAGCTTTTGCTGTTTTACTTATGTTCAGAATAGAGAGCTCTGTTTCCTTTTATGTACCATATAGTAATCTATTACTTGGAGTAATTAATATACTACAAACTTATATGTGTTGACTTGAGAGTAGCTGTACAGATTAAAAGACTGGAAACTTGTTCCAGTTCAGTTTAGAGCCATTTATGTCCCTTTGCTTCACAACATGTTTGAAGATTTTTCTGAATTCATTACCAGTCTGAGAGATTCTGTTATCTTATTAGACAGTATCAAAATACCAACCATTCTCATAAGTGCACAAGCGGGCAGAGAGGGAGTCGTTTATATAGCATTACAGTCAAAATTTCTAAGCACACAGGGTGTTTGATTCCCTCTTTCTATAGTAGAAAACTCTGCATGTGTGTATTTCTCTATAACATATTAAACATTTTAGTCTGGGGGTATGTTCGTATACATATATACTCCACAATTTCCAAGCATTACAGACGCGTGAAAGGAGATTTGCACGCATGGGCAATTTTGTTAATCATTTCATGATCATAGATTCTTTTCCAAGCTGCTTTTTGAACAAAGGCCTTCATGTGCAGAATCTTGGTTGAGGTTTTTCATTCATTTATCTGCTGCTGCTGCTGCTGCTGCTGCTATTGCTGCATGAACCTCAATCCAGCAGGATTTAGAGATATTGCATAGAAAACCCAACTTTCCATTGCATTAATATTGCTTTAACTTCAGTGACTGAATGCTCCCTTCCTTGTCAATTATTGCAGAAATAAGGTAAGGGCAATAAAGAGAGTGTTGTTTTTCTTTTTGTTTTTTGGTACAAGAAAACTATACTACATAGGTGTAGTCAACACCCACATTCTATGCAGAGTTAAAATAGTGCATCATTGTAGCTTATAATTTGTAAAAAAAAATGTATTGCTAGGGAATTGCCTTGGGTATATAATAGGACTATAGCCATGCTAAGGCAGTGTTCCTCAACCTTGGCGACTTTAAGATGTGTGGACTTCAACTCCTGCTGTACC